GGCGATGACTACATATTTCACACTTTGAAAAAACATTTTGTAACTTTTTAGGAAAGTCTCGCTTTTATTCGTAATTTTAGTTAGAGGAAGGGGAGGGGGGAGGAGGGAATCGAAAAAAACCGAAGATATGTCCCTTTTTGACCGATCGGTCAATAAGCAAGATAGCCACAAATTTATTTCGCTTTTGAAACAATATTATATTGAGGAAATTGAACTATTTCCTTAACCTGTTCAAACTTGTACCTCACTTTTTTATATCTAGACCTTTTCAAAACAGACGTCCTCGTCCTCCTCTCCCCTCGCCGTCTCCCCTCCGTCCAAAATTGCTCTCCAGGTCCACTACAACGTACCAAGTGAGTCTTTGCATTGTGGCAAAATGACATTTTCTGTTGAAGTAAGAAGATCTGTATCCAGCGAAGACTGGTCAGCTGTGTCTGTCGACAGAGACTGTGTTGAGTTCGCGGGATGTATTAGAAACGTGGGTGCAAGCAAAGGTGACAATGAAGTGATGTCGAATGCGCTTGGTTCCAGCCGGCACTGAACAAATGATTAACGAGATAGCGCATGCAGTAGGTAGTGAATTAATTAATAGTGATGAAATAATTTTCATGAAACATTATGATTAAAGTCAAGGAAGTGTGTGAGCGAAAATCCAAGTTACCTCACACAAACTTTGCAAACGTGCCTTAATCAATACCACAAATGTCTGCTTAGAACGTGCTCGAGCAAATCTTAGTGATAAAAAACTGAGGAAGCACAGAGACATAGAAGTTTGTGCGAAAAAGTGTAAGTCTTTAGCTATGATCAGAAGCTCAAAGCATGGGTTGATTTTGGATAGGGATCTTGTAATATGACAAAAATCTCTTCACAAACCTTGACATTAACTTCGCAAGCATGTTTAATTAGATCCGGAATCAAAGGTAACATTTCTGCATAATCAGTCGGCTTCACCATTGGAATTTCATCCCCACGTTTGAGAACGCGCCGCATAACTGCGTACAGTGCACCAACATTATATTCACTGCTCCGCAATGATATGAAATGCTAAAAATAAAGTTCAAATGCACAGAGCGAAGCAAGCAATGACTAAAATATGGGCGCACGCGGAAAGCGATAGAACTGGATACGCTCGCAACTTCCTCGCATCTCCACTTCCTTCTACATTTTCAATGAGCTATAGAAAGTTCTCCTTTTCTGTTTAGGCAAAAAAACGCCGCAGAAGTAGACAGAAAGCGGTGTTCCGAGTGTTCTTTGTAACTCGTCGTCTTCCGCCATACACCCGCTAAGATCTCCTACCCTCATCTGGTCACCAGGAAGCATCGAGAGAGACTCCAGATCAGAAGGAACAACACGTACAGAAACGCGCAAGACCTCGTCGTAAAATTTGATTAGTCGATTCTATAAAGTACGCGAGAAAAAATTTCCCAGTTCTTCGAGCATGAGAATTTAAGCATACCTCGGGATC